TTAAAGATAGTTAATTTTGTTTATACATAAACATTTTTTTACACTAACAATCAATTTGCATCTTATTTCAGATTAGAACACTGAACTTTAAGAGTCGATTTCATTAATTGCTGAACATCATGTCACCTGAATCTGACGACAAAAAAATTTAAAATGTCGACATCATGCAATGCTCTAGTTGTTTTTTTTTCAAATAGTTCCTATAACTCTTATTTATTCTTATCGCACTTAACTGCACGTTATTAAAATGAAAAATTAAGTAGAATTGTACATTTTTATTTATTGTTCATCTTTCTTAACATCACATTCTTAACTAACTCTTTCATATTAATTATATTTTTTTTTTGTTTTCACATTCAGTTAGGTGTCCGCTCTATCTTCATTATCACAATCAATTCATTGTAAACTTCCCCGAAAAAAAAAGAATCTCGAAATATAACCAGTCCCAGATGTGGTTCTAATTATATGTTTAAATATAGTTGAACTTTTGTTATCAGATTCTAAAAACCTGTTTTATTAGGTATAAGATTTAATGTCATCAGAATTTAAAATGAAATATTAACTATGTATATTGACAATTATCTGGTAATTCATTGATTTGAAGTAAATTCGAAAAAATTTTTTATTGAAGTTGCAACCGATATAAATTCAATATTACATTACGACAAAGCTAGATTGAATGATGAACAACTGACGATAAAATCTCAATGCAACACATCTTGATTAATTATACAGATCGGAATTTCTATAATAAGAAAAAAAATTTATCAACAATCCAGCGGAAATTGAATCAATTGTCAAAATTCCGGTTTATCTTCTGACGCTAATAGAAATATCATAGTAGAAATATTATGAATCAATAATTCTTTATATATGAACTTCATATTTGTAGCAAGATCATGTTTTTGAATTTCGACGGTTCTTCTCTGGATCAACGATACCCTATATACTAATTGGTTTAATTGACAGGGTACATCAAAAAGTGTGGGGGTTGCTGATCAGAAGAAGTACCTCATATATATAGCATGTATTTTCGTTTTTGGAAGCTTCATATCTTGGTGAGATTTAGTCAAAAAATTGTAAATATTTGATTAGAATTTTTATGTAGTCAAAATTCCAAAATATGAAATCATTATGTGAAAATGTACTAAAAACGTTTAATCTCATCAGAAATAGACCATAAAGATAAACTCCTTTTATAGTACATATAGTTTAATAAGATTTATAACATGCACGAAGTTTCAGCAGAAAAGTGAATCGATCTCTCCCCCCTCCCTCTCCCGGGAAACATTCCGTTGTAAGTTTGATGAATGAAAACATTTTCTTAATTGACGACTAATTATCAAAGTAGCATATTTATTCATCATTATCCAATATATTACCATGAGTTTTTAATTAATATGAAATCTATTATTTATTTTTCTTGAAATCATAGTAGTAGATTCCTGAATAAACAGGTTTCCGTATCTTGTATGAATATAAAGAAAAAAAAAACATGATTATTTTTGTTTTGTAAAGTTATATGATGAAGAATATATTTGAAATATACGCATTTATGAGTGCAAAACATGACATGATACTCGGTACTTGAATGTATAATTATAAATTTTCTTTAAGTATGTAAAAAAAAAAACCATTACATAAATTGTAAAGCTTTTTCTTCCATGAACACTTTTTTTTAAAAATTATAGTCTATCATTTATAAAAAAGGAAATCTTCAATTAAAAAATACAAGTAAAAATTAAGATTATTACAGGAAAATACATGAACATTATTTCATTCTTCTAATCTTTGTAGTTATAAAATAAGTAATAAAAACATAATGAATGAAACTGATATTTTGGAATCAAATAATGTTGTTTTTTTTTTGCTTAATAATAAATTAATAACGATTAATTTTTTATAACCATATTTTGTTAATCCGATATATTTTCAATCTTTTATTGTTTGTGTTCATGAATATCAAAATTCAAGTAACATGACTTACATGATTAATTAAGAAATTAGAGTACATTGTCTATTATTATTATTTCTTAACAGTATGAGTTGAGATAGTCAAATACTTCCTTACGAGACAAAAAATGCCATGTAGTAAAAAATTTGCGCGACAGTTCCGATCTCAGCAGGACATCACAAAGAAAAGAACCAGAAATTACTCGATTTTTTTGAACTATACGAAAATTTCTGTATCATTTATTTAACAAAGTCTCTTTTCTTAAAATGAAAACAGAAACTATAAATAAATTTAGTTATTTTTTTTTAGTGAGAAATTCTTATTTCAATAAAATTTCTCATTTATTACTTTCATAGAACTATATTATTTATTAATTTAAATTAAGTTCATTCAGAATTGATAATTATTTGTTATATTTACAACAAAAAATATTATATATTTAATCAAACAAATTGTTGTATCATTTATATCCAAGAAATTTTCTATTTCATTTACATCGGATTCTAAAATTATTTTTGTTTTCATTATCATATTAAAAACAAATCATTGTTTATCTACGACAACAATTAAATATATAGATATATATATATACAATTCATAAAAAGAATCGTGTTCTTATTTATTTTCTTTAGTTTGTTTTTGTTTTTGTATCTTACATCCAACAACATTTTGTTGTTTTATTTGTTCTTGATGATTTTCGTGATGTTGTATTATCTTTTATCGATCTTAAATAATGCATTGTAAAAAAATCATTTTGTATCCAAAAAAATTTATTAACTGCCGTTGATATTCCACGTTTTGTTTTTTCATCCATTGCATCAGTATTACATAAAACATCAATAAGTAAATGTTCTAAATATCCAAGTAATGCATTTATATGTATATAATCAACATTAATTGATGATGAACCAGCTTGATTTGTATGCATTTTACCAACTTGTGATAAATATTGAAGAAATGTATCATTCCAATCACATTGTGTTAATACACGTTTTAAATACATACTTAACATATCTTTTCGAAGTTCCATTTGAGCTGAATCTAATGTAATTCCACATTGTTTTTTCGATACAAAACCTTCAAAACCTTCATTACGTATAAGAAAATATTGTTTTGTTATATCAAATGAAAATAATTTTCTATAAACTGTATCAGATATAACCGGTATAAGTGGAAACACAAGAGGTGCAAATGTATTAAGCATAGCTATATCATCCGAAGTAAAATTAAGAAATTTTGATAAATAATCAAAACGATAACGAAGATCTAAATGAAGTCGATTAGCGTCAATATGTTCGGCCATAGTGCAAAAAAGAAAAATGATTTGACATCTAGTAGTTTGTTCTTAGTTGCTACTCGTTGTTTTTTCTTTTCTCTCTTTCTCTCTCATCTCTTGTTGGAGAAAAAGATGACGTTTTATTATGCATGATTTCTAATGCAACATCATTGTATATAACGCATCAATCAGAACTATATAATCTACTAGTCTTTTTCATTAGAATTTCCGCTCGGAAAAGTGACTGTTGATT